CTGGAGTGTGCCTCAATTCTGGTCTATGTTCCTGACTTCTTTTGTTAAAAATAAAAGAATTGAATCTATGCAATAGGATCAAGGAGATTTTTAATAATTTATTCTTTTCACTGCTGAGCAATTCCTCCTGTGGATAAAATACAACTGGAACTAACCCTCAGACTAAAGGTTAAGACCTTGGATTGGAAATGGAGAGTATAAAATAATTTCAGCTCTAGGCTTTAAATAATAATTCAGACTAACTTTTTGATCACCTTCTTGCATTTAGATATAAATTCATACCAAAGGTCTTTGGATCTGTCTGAAACAAATGGGAATGAAGAACAAAGCTTCTGCTTGGATTTGCTACCAAACTGTTTCTTCAGTGCCTGTCTGTTATTTCTCTCCTTTAGTCCTGTAGGTTTTTCAAGTGTGTTTGCTGAAGGAATGGAAAAATGATGTCTCCTATGCAATGCTGTAGGACTTAGAGGGAGAGAGTTATGGGTGGTGGTGATCCTGATCCTTTGTTGCATACTATCCCATGTGATGGAGTGGGAGTTTCTATTCAAGGTACAAAAGAGCAAAAGTGTGAAATGATGGCCAAGCATCAGCTGCGTAAATGGCAATGAAGGTACATGCACATTTCAAAAATTCCTTTTAAATGTATCCAAAGGCTATTCTGAAAGCTTTCTGACAGCAATGTCTGTTTTCAAATCTGCTTCCCATACCTTCTGGTCTTATGTATTCACACTTGTCTATGCTTGGAAAACCCTGTGGTTGTTACTGTTTTCATCACCTGGTCCAAAAGATCAAGGGTTTGATTTTTTTTTTCTAAATTATTTATTTAATGGTTTCATTTCACCCCATTTTTTTCTCCAATATAATGTTGTTGCCTTAAATAAAGGAGAAAAAAACAAAATACAAACAAACAAACAAACAAAAAACCACAAAAAACCAAACAATAAAAAACAGCACCCAAAAAAACTTACAAAAAACCCCAAAACCCCCAACAACAAAAAAAGCAACAAAAAACCAAATAGTTCCCCCTGAAATTTATTCAATTTATTCAAAATAAAATGTGGTTTATAAACTTTACTGAATTATTGTTATTGATGCTAATGAATGAAAAATTCTGAAACATTTAGGAAGAAAATTTGCTTTGGCCTATTTTTTTTCATTATGTCTTGCATCTGCTACGTAATCAACAAAGGTAGGTTTGCCTATCATAAGTAATGGAGGACATCAACAAAAAGTAGCTATTAAAACTATCTCCTACAGTCTCAAAAGATAATTTTAATAACTATGAAAAAAATGAGTCATATTAAAAATACTACCTACAGAGCAAAGACAACATGATCCAAACTAAAAATGAAAATAATAAACATTTAATTGTGATGTTAAAAATTATTACATACAACTATTCTCAAAAAAACAAGAAAAAAAGAAAAGTGTTTTGCATATGTTCTCTTAGCATTCATAGTATAGATTTACAGTTTTTACTACTTTATGTTTAGAGTTTTATTTGGAATTTTTTTATCTTTTTATGTTATCTATATTTCACACACCATAGCAACATTTTCAATAGATTCATAATATAGATCAGAGAAGGAGCAAAATACTACTATCTTACTTTTGTAATTTACACAACAGGAATAGCAAACATGTATTTATATAACTTTTTCCAGTGCTCTGAAACAATATACAACTGTGGCCACTAAATATATTTTTGATCTAAACATTTGTCTGAAGAAAATCTGTCCATCTGATATTATGGTATTTTCCAGTCTTCCTAAAATTATTTTTGAAAGAGAACAAGCAGCAAGATAAGCAAAAATAAAATCTGACAATAACATTGTTAATATGGAAACAAATATTGTTTTAGAATTCTGTCAAAATATTAAGATGATCTTTCTGATTTTTTTATTGGTTTAGAAATTTTCCTATCTTAAAGAAGAAAAACTGTTACAGAGTAAATTCTAAAAAGATAAGTTTCATAAAGAATAATCACTGTAAGAAATTCTAATGCAATCCACAGACATTATGATGCTGTTGCATGAGTTTGATCAATCTTCAGCAATCCAAGTAAGTAAAATGGTAATTTACAAAGACAAGGATAGATCAAATTAGTAACTGTAATTATTATGAGTAGATTTTTATAGAATGTCATCATTTAATTATGCACTATTTTTAATAAAAATATAACTGCTCACCAAAAAGCAATGCCCAGCATTAAAACTGAAGCTACTGGACTAAGTAGATTAAATATATGTACTGATAGCGTCTCCTTTTTTATTAGATTTTCACTTGTCTGTGTCCCTGAAAGGACCATCTGAAATGTGAAGTATCAGGTGCATGTATTTTATCAGCCAATACCCATCAAATTAATAAACTAGGACTGTAATAGCTGTGATGATTGCAACACCACCATCTGCACTGGTTTTTTTCTGGAGACCTTCTTTATTAGAGTAGCAAATGTGTAACTTTATCTACTGATGTTCTAATTAAGGAATGCATTAGCAAGTGATAAAATTATTAAGGACTTAAATCCTAGGGATTTCAACTGTACTTCAACATATTACTATGTGCTTTAAAGTAACTAAAGAGAAACAGCAAGAAGAATATATTGTATAAAAAATATGTGTGTACTAGACCTGAACAACCAGGTCTAGCATCCCTCCAAATATTTTAAATACCAATGTAAATACCAATAAAATCTAACTGGGAGGAAACCTATGCAAGCATTTCAACCACTGGATGAAAAAACTAGAGAAAAAAGTGAACAGAAGCTTTCATTCAATGCTAAGATTCCAAGTTTTAGGACCCTGTGTTTTACTTATTCCTGTGTTCATGTACCTGGCTTTGGTTCTGTTTTCAAGGAATATATTCCCTGACATTTTTTGGATTATAGAAGACATGATCTATGATAGATACAGAATGCCTGCTAAAATGGTATAAGGTTCTTAAGTATAAAATATACATGGAAGTGTAGGAGGCATCACTTTATATATAAAGTGTTGTTAAATTTTAAAAAATTAAATTTAAAAAAAAATTAGCACAGAACTTGTCAAACAGATCAAATGTCCGCCTCTTTCAGATTTTGTGCTGAATATTCCTGAAGGATGATAGAAGAATGCACTTACTAGACAAATATGGATTACTACTCTACAAAAAAAGACTTCAATGAAAGTTAATGTTCTTTACATTTTACAGCAGATAGTTTTATTTTGTCCATGTTATATTTTATATTTTATCCTTAAAGATGAAATTTGGCAATGATTTTAAAAGTTAATTTTGTATTTGATAAATCAAGATGGTTTTGGTGGGTTGGTTAGTTGGTTTGATGATTGGTTCATTGGGATTGTTTCTTTTTTCATTTACTTGAGTACTTCAATTATCTCAAAATACCAATCCAAAGAAATCTGCCTTCTATCCTTAACTAACAGTGCTTATCCAAATACACATCCAAATTATTTTCCCTGTCTTCATGAGCAATCTTTGACTCCTCACTTTTTAGGGGATGCAGTAAACACATATTCCCCCCGCAAATGTTGATTTCAGTGTCAACATTTCCATCAGACTCTGATCATGCTTTCATAGTGCAAAAATTTAGTTTTGAGGTGGCATGGAGGAAGACAGTCCAGTATAGACTGAAGAAAGCCCCTTAAACTTTCTAATTGTAGAAATTGCCATGAGGCTAAAGTTAGATAATTTCCCCAGCATAGATGAAACAAGAGGAATGTTGGGAAGGGAAAGGGGAAAGCAGGCCAGAGACAACAGTCACATCATTCCTTGAAGTAAAATCCCAAACCACCTAAACCACAACATGGAGCAACCTGGCAACATTACCCACCTATTCTCCCTGACTGGTATCTCTAGAATGATTCTGTATTATCCATTTATTTGTTGATTTAGTAATACCTGCAGGACTACGTTCAGAACATTAAAATTTTTACTGTTTTGCACCACCAACATGAGTAGAAGAAAGTTCCTAGATAAATGCCATCCAAGTCTTCCTGCTGTCAATGAAGAGGTGATTTAGAATGACAAATGTGGGGTCACATTTTAATTAATTTTTTCTAAGACTCATCACTCTACATCCATTGTCAGACATTATTATATGACCAATTAATTTCTGTCTTGTTAAATTTTGTTTCCAAAACTTAGAGAATTGTAGATTTGGCGCGTGTGTGTGTGTGTCTTTCACGTTTGCCAAAACCACATAAATATGTCACAGTCTGACAATCCCTAGAGAAAAAATTTGAGATGGCTTACTTCAGTGTTAAAAGAAGATTCTCTCTTTGGATTTGCTAGTATATAGATAGTCAATTTATAATTCCCAATGATGCTTTTCAGTAATAGTCAGCTATATAGCTTCTATTTACCTTATGAAATACAAAACACATAGTTAACACATAGTTAACAATGAGTTAACAATATTCCAAGGGAACAAAAAAATTCTTCTACATTTCCAATTTCACTTTTCCTCAATAACTACTCATTTACTCCTGTGCAACATTAGGATGAAGATGTGAAAAAACTGAACCTGTCTCTAGATCTTAATTTTTCCTGTAAAACTAGGCAAGAACTTATATTAGTAAAAGCATAGTTAATATTGTCTGATTTGGAAACAAGTAGTGATTATTATACTGTTGAGTCAGTAAAAGTTCAAGTTCAAGGCATAAGATTACATTTGAATCATAAAATCAGTAGTACATATCAACCCTGTATTCTCTTGATAATCTTCAAGATTTTGGCCACCTTCTGAATTATCAAAGAGTTTCAACAGTCCATTAAGGACTCCAAAGAAGAACAAGAACAATTTATCATGTGATATAAAAATGTGCACTAATATAGTGAAAATGAGTTGATTGAGATTATATGAGATGATATATTGTTACCTTGTTAAGCATTTCTGCCATAATAAAAAACCCTGCTACTGTATAAGCACTTTGTCTTTATCAAAAACAGATAAGTAAAGGAGTTAAAATGAATTCTCTGAACATGTATTTGTCAGTACTTACTGAAAATGCATTGCAACCTCCATCAGCTGTGTCTGCCAAACTCAATAAGCAAAACAATGTGGTATGGTCAATTTGTGCATGAGACAGATGTTTTGTGGAGTATTTATTATGCCTGCAGGGAGCTGAGTGACCACAGCTTCCAATCAGCAGTAGATGTAATATAACATCCTAACACTGCTTTCCTCTGCAACAAGATTTAGCATGTTGCACACAATACTAGCAAGATTGCTAGGTTTTGTCTGAATTGTTCCAAAAATGTCGTTTGGAATTGAATGTAAGTAGAAAAAATGTCACTGGAAAAACAAGAATAAAGTGCTGCATTGCTCTTTCATTTTAAGTTAATCTGTCAAACAGAAAGCTGTTTTCATCTTGAGGTAATCTAATTCAATGAAAAAAAAGGATTATGGGAAACAAATTCCTAAATATATATTTACTTTTTCTTAGTAACCATACATTCTTTTTTCTCCTTTGAAAATCATTCCTACTACTTCTCATGTGTACAGACCCCATTCTACTGAATTCTTCAAACTTTATAAAGAAGAATGCAAAAGAAAAAGATAATTGCTAACAGAGGAACTTAGATTTAATATTTAGCTCATGAACCAGAAGTTTCTTTCAGAAGTGCAGGATTGTGCAGGATTGTTGTCTCACTGCTGACAAATTTTGTTTCTTCACAGTTTCCATTTTATTTTTATTTCAGATAGTCTATTTTGATAGACTTGCTTACCTAGTTTAAATGTATGCTCCCATTTTCAAAATATAAACACTGAATCTAAAAATAATGAAAAATACTTATATTTTTCCTCAGAAATGTCCTACTTCTTATGGATGATATGCCTAAAACTGGTTTGACTGTAATCTTATTATTTTTAAATAATATAGGAGAAAAAATTTGAATGTAAAACCCCCTATGCTTCCTGGCATGCAAGAAAAAAAGGTTTATCACTTTTTGGGGCATAGTTGGTTATGAAGGTTCCAAGACACTGTGTCCTTCAAATGGCTTAGTTCCTTATCATCTTTAACTCCTTTGAATGTGGTTTTGGTTTTCATGGGTTTTTTTCCCCATGTATTAGCTTTCAAGGAGGAAGTACTTCAGTCAACAATATGGCAATTTCAATATGTTTGGCTGAAGATGTGATGCTTGGGTAGTAAGTACCATTCCTGCCCCTTTTGCAGCTGATGTGTCATTCTTGTCTTTACTTAGTGTGCCCCTGACACCAAGTCTGTTTGTCCTTTCTCTCCCTCCCAATACTTTGATTATAAGCATGATGTGACACAGGCAGAAAGAGCTTTCCCAATTAGATGACTGAGAAAAAATTGGTAAAAAAAGGATGTAGACTTTAACTGGCTTATAATCTGTTACTTCAGGTTTTTATGAAGCATATGACATGTTTCTGTCCATCTATGGAACCAGACTGATTGATTTTATAAACTGAGAATATCTCCATTGGTTTAGGAGAATATCTTTACATTCAGGATGAAATTCAGGATGAAATAAATCAGAGAAGTTGTATCTGGAAGATTCATACTTCTCATGTTTGACAAGTTTGTTGATACATTACACATATCTGCAGATATTTATGCAGTTAGCTTCAAATTATCTAAAGCCTGAAGCTCCAGAAACCCATTTTTCTCAAAAGAACCACTTCTCCAAATGAGGGCTGACAGTACAGAACAGGGGCCATGACTAGCAGCAATCAGAAAGGACAATTCTTACAGTAGAAGAAAAATTTAACTCTCCATTATGTCATCCAGAGTGTTACTGGAAATACTGTGTGATGTTTATAAAATCCTTATATTTATATATATATTATATATTTAAAATAAAGTCATGTTTCTATGTTTTGCATAGTGTCTTGAGTGTAAGATAAATATCAAACAATTTTCAGTGAAGTCTGAAACTCCTGGCAGTAGCTGTTCAAATAACAAACTATTCCTCTACTTGAGCTGCATAATCTGCAACTGGCTGGACACCAAAATTCCTTTTAGAGAGGTTCCTTCTAACCTTCTAACTTTTTAAGTCAAGTTTCAATAGCTTGCAATTTTTTAGAACCTAGAATAACAGAGCTTATAATGAAAATACTTATGCTCTTGTGGCTATAGGTCGGCCAGCTACTGCTGTAATAATCAGCAGATAATTACTTTTAGCTTTCCACTCAATGAATTAGCACAGATGAAATTTTTCATTAAAAGATGAGATTTGCTGTAGGAAAGTTCATTTCAGCATATGTCCACGATGATAAACTAACTGCTGCTTGTTCTGTGATTTCTCAATACAATTTTTCTGAGTGCTATTTTTTTTTTAATTCAGGAGGACTAGCATGATTGAAGATATTCAGAATGAAAGGGCAGATAGCTGAGTGCAGTTGTCCTTAAAACCTGACCCATCAGCATAGAACTCATGGGTCATTATGATGTGCTGAAGTGAGCTGTGGTTGGATGAATCAGCTTCTGTGAAGAGTAGCCTGTAGATGTTCTCAAGAAGTTTAAAGACCTTCTTGGTATTTAGATTAAAAAAAGAAATCCAAAAAATGCTGTTTGTCTGACAGCATGAAAATCACTCAGGAATACTGATTTCTAGTCTTTTTTTTTTATTAGGAATGAAAACAACTAACCCATTGCCACCAGCAAAACAGTGATTATGAAGATCACATTATGAATTCTAACTTTTAAAATATTTCACTGTTATTAATTAGTCAGCATTAAAAATGGTAAATCATACCAGGAATGAATATAGCAAAATAACATCTATTGTTATAATTTATCATTAGTTTAGTAAATCAATCAGTGCTTGTGGCTCTTTTTTTCTGGTTGTTAATTTGACCCACAGGATAAATTTAAGCTGTGACAAGTGTTGATTTCTTTCATCATGAGTTAACCCTTTACCTAGAAAAACATTCTTTCTAATAAAAAATTCCACAGAGTCATTAGATATTTTTTTTCTTTTTTTTGTTTCCTACTGTTGCTTTATAACCTAATTTTCTCTCCTGGAAGCTTCCAGGACTGCTGGAGTAAGGGAAAAAGGAAGCAATGGACACATGAAATATATTTGTATCTATTGTCCACTGCTTTCTTATGTACTGATATGTTGCATATTAGGTGACAAGCAGCAGCCCAGAGCTACTTTAAAAAATAGTTACAGTACATACAGATAAAATCATCTCACACATCCACTAGTTTAGGAATGCAAATCTATATTTAGTTTTATTAGTAAAATTAGAATAATTTCAACTGAGCTCCTCTCTGTGAATTTAAAATATTACATAATTTATAACATATATATTTTAAATTAAAATTATTAAAAATAAAATTTTCTCCTATTATGCTCAAGTTTTATTTTGGTTCCTTTCTTCAAACAAAATAAAAAAAGAGTCTTCATTTTCTTGTCAAATCCCATCCATTCCTCTTTCATATAATGCTTCTTAAAATAAGATATGGTCATCGTGACTGCAAAAAGACTAATGATTTCCGGAATCCAATTAAATCAAGTTGGTATTGCTAGGAGGAGGACTCTAGAATTGGTGGTAACAACTGGAAAACTGACTAATTTGTCAATAGCTGAGAATGGATGTTACTTTGTTATTTAGTTCACTAATTATTCATCTCTTCAGTCACACTGCTCTCAGCCTTGGTTTCCATTTCCTTCTTTTAATTTTGTTTCTACAATGCGCTCTCCTGCAAGGTGTCAGATGGATTTTACAAAAGAATATAACTCTTTCATTAATTTTTCAGTTACACAGCCCCTTTATGACAAATTCTTTCTGTTATATTTCCCACTTTCCTTCTCTCTTACTCTGCTCTGCTAAACCTCCAGCCTATATAGTTATGAGAAAAGTTCTCTTATCTAGACATTCAAACTGGAAAAGAATGGTATTTCAGATTTCATCCAATCACAGATATTTCAACCTTTATTAAAAAAAAAAAAATAAAAATATTTGATGCTTAAAACATGATAGAAATTTCACTTTTTTCCCTTTTGATTTTATTGGTGACTAAATTAACTCCTTTTTTTAAATATGTCATATGAAGTCTGGAAAAAATACTTTCCAAATACTTTCTCAAAATGGATAAAGTAAATTTATTATTATTTACACTTTTTAGTATTAAGAGAAATATATAAATATAGACATATATATCTGCAGCAGGATATTTTCAAGAAGGGCAAAGATATTTCTTCCTAAGACAATTTTTTCTTTCCTTCTTGGATAGTACTCTTCTTGTAATATGAGAGTAGCACAGCCAACTTTCTTTGGTAATAGAGGAATAGGACCAATATATATATTTTAAATGAGTGAATGACCTGCCACAGGAATGCTATTTGTTCCAGCTAAGTGGATATTTCATCCTGTTTAACTGGAAGGTTAACTTGTAAAGTAGTTTTGCCCAGAGGCAGAAAGACACTGGGAAAGAATATGAGATATTTCCCCTTTCTGTTACTTTTGAGATGTCTTGAGAAGAATGAGTAATTTGAGATTATGTTATTTCAAGATATCTTCATGAACTACTAGAAGGTTTTTTCATCTTTGCTCCACTCGCACTCTACTGCCCAAGAGAACCTTTTGTTCTATACTAGACCATGAGCAGCTATTGATGTTTCCTTGTACAGTTTGTCAGAGAAAGTAAAGAATGATAGTTGCCCACATCCTTTGCTTGTTCTGAGTTTTTCCTGATGTTTCACTGAAGTTGGTCCCTGATATTTTAATTCAGACAATAAAATTTACAAATATTCTCCTTACACATATGGAAGTGATTCCTAAGGCTTATGGACAAAAACCAGAATGCAATTTGATTTTCATAAAATGGTAAGTGTATTGATGTGCTGATTATGAAGCTCAGATTTTGTTATGGAAGTATTGGAATATAAATATTCTAAAGCACCTGAAAATTGAAAAGGGAATGGCAAGATTTTTCTGCCTTTTGCCAGACTACAGAGAGATTCATGGTGCCTAATATTAAAGAAAAGGAGCACAGTGCATAAAATAAGCTATAATTAATAATATTAGGATGTAGAATATCTCTGTGCACCT